GAAGAATCTGCCCAGCCCCAGCTTGGTAAAGGCAGCGCGCACTCAGGAATACGGGTGGATGGTGAGCTTTTTCTTGGTGAGCACAGCTCTGCAGCAAGAGTACAGGGCGACACTAAAAGGCCATCATTAGGGAATCTGGGGCCGTCTTATCTGGTATTTCTTCTTTGCCTCAACAGTCACATGAGGGTGGCCATGAGAACACCAGATCTTCCTTCCTGTGTGCGTGCACACCTCCTTATCTAGCTATCTCAGAGCAAGGCACTATCTCCGTAATCATTTCAGTCTCCCCACACCCAGGGAAAGTGGGTGGCAATCCCAGTTTCCAGGGAGAGAGGCAGAGCAAAGAGGTTAAGCGGCACATTCACCAGGGCCCTGCATGACGGGGCAGGGCCGAGGAGAGATGCCAGGAGGCCTGGCCCCTGCTCTCCCAGAACAAGCTCCAGACATACGCTCTCTCCCTGCCCTAGTTTCACCAACTACTTATTATATGCCCCAAGAAAAATATTTCCTTTACAGCCACCCACATCCTTACCAGCAGCACATTCTACAAAACACCACAAGTGCGTTGAGATTTGTGCCTGCACGAAAAAGATACCTTCATTCATGTCATTGAATTCGGTAGCCTCAGACAGAATTGGAAACACCTAAAAAAACACCTTGACCTTTATACCTTGGCATTCCCAAGACGTTCCCCAGCCCCTGCTGCACAAAGCCATGACCACCAAGATTAATTTCATTTTCTTTCTCTTAAGCCTTCTTCTCTTCCCAGCACTACTCTCTGGACCCTGCTCTTCTCACTGGGTCCCACCCACACCAAATCTTTCAGTGGTCTCGCTAAACCATGGCCCCAACTAGAGGCTCCTCCTCTCTGTCCCTCTTATCTTCTTTAAGGAAAAAGGAACTAGGAGTGAAACGACAAGGAAGGCAGGCTGAGAAGGAAGTCATCCAGGACTCAGTGCCTGCGACTGGCAACATGCGTGGAAGTGCTTTCCAGATGTTCTGACAGAGACAGCGGACAGTCAGGCTGCCCTCGCACCCATGGGAGGCCTTGCTTGGCACAGGAATCCACGGTCCGTGTTCGTGGATTGGGGGAATGTCGCTGCTAAGCACCTGCCAGATCCCCACAGTGTACATGACACTTTCCCTGTGGTTCACTCAGTCCTCCCCAACACCTGGGAGGGGGGCACTGTTATCCCCAGGTCACAGGTGAGGAAACTGAGCTCCAAAAGTAAGCACATCTGTTCAGTCAACGGGAACCTAGGCATGCCTCCCTCCAAATCTGTTGCCTTTTTTTCTCTTCTTATCATATCTGGAATGTGTGCAAGACTCACCAGGCAGAAAATGCAAAGAGCGAACTATATGAAAAGTGAAAAGACCACCAGGCAACCAAGGCCTGCCAGGGCCAGGTAGAGCGGTGCGTGAGGCAGTGTGAACAGGTGCTGCGGGGGGCCAGCGCTGGGGTGGAGACTTCTCAGGTCCGTCATCAGGGCAGCTACTATTCACAGCCCCCCACCCAAGCAGGAAGGTTAGGCCTTCCTAGCATGTAGCATGTGCTCCTGTATCTTAAGTATAAAGTTTATACAAGTGCTATTCCTGGAAGCAAAAAAGAAGACTGTCTTCTAGCCACTGTCTTCCACTCACGTACCTTCAGTGCTGGCAAGACCTCTGATGCCATCTAACCTCAGCAGTCAAAGGAGGCTGAGAGGCCTGCCCAACCCCCCCCACCCTATCCCCGCCTGAAGGCAGCAGAGTCGCAGGTCCTCACCGGGTCCTAGGCTTCCAGGATGAACACCCAGGCCTGTCTCCCCATGATTCATGCTCCAATCTCTCTTCACACTTGCACCACCAGTGAAAACCCTCAATCAGCATTTGGAAAGCGGAGAGACACTGAGCGCCGGCTGCAGTAAATATGCTGGCTCTTGAATGTGGTTTATTCTCCATGCACTGAACATAAACAGAGGCCTGACATTTTACAGCATTCTTCCACTGCAAAAACTCGTGTAAAACTGAACGGAGTCCCTAGTAATAAAATACTAAACTAATTAAACCTTCAATTTGCCAAGAAAAACGATCCAACTGTAGAGTGAATTTCTTCATATATTTCTAGAATTTCTGGTTAATAAGGCAACATCTGATATGCGTATTTCCCATGCTAAATTCCTCATCCTCCTTCCATCCCTAACCTACTGCGGTCTTCCTCTCTGTTTTAACCTCTCCAGCTCCCACCACCACTGCTCCTCCCGTGGTGTCAGTGGTCACTCATATACCAAGTTCTGTGGTCTTCTCATCTGGGCTCCTCCCATTTTCCTTTCCACTTGGGTTCTTATTAAACCTTTTGCTTTTAAGGTGGCAGAAAAGACAACGTTCCAGAGAATGCCAGCAAAGTAGGTCTATTCTCCATTCCCGCTCTAGAGACCTTTGTCATTACGTAGTTTTACCCACATAGCTATTTTCAAACCACCATTTAAAAAAATAATCTCATTAACTTTTCAATTTAGACAGCAATCAGAAATTATAACATGTGCCGGGCACAGTGGCTCACACCCGTAATCCCAGTACTCTGGGAGACTGAGGCAGGTGGATTGTTTGAGCTGAAGAGTGAGAGACCAGCCTGAATAAGAGCAAGACCCTGTCTCTACTAAAAACAGAAAATAACTGGCCCAGCATGGTGGTGTATATCTGTAGGCCCAGCTACTAGGGAGGCTGACGCAAGAGGATTGCTTAAGCCCAAGAGTTTGAGGTTTCTGTGAGCTATGAAGCCACAGCACTCTACCAAAGGTGACAAAGTGAGACTCTGTCTCAAAGAAAAAAA